GTAAGACCCTAGACTAAAGTCAAGGGAACAAAGAAACAGACAAAGAATTTACTCTGTTGGATTCTATGTTATCAGTTAAGGGAAATATTTCCGTGTTTGTTGTTTTTCTCATATTATTTTTGAAATTCTTCTGTGTACCATGAATAGCACGCAAAGAGGACTATGCGGCAGTTGATTGTGTATTCGTCCCTCAATTAACAAGTGTGTGAGCACCGACCACATGAACGTATCGATCAATGATTGGATAACTTAATTGATTGAATAACTTAAGAAAAATAAGAACTGAACGAACATAATGAAAATCTCTTGTTAACTTTAAGACTCGTCAGATTAGTCATGCAAAAATTAGATGATTGAGAACTAATTTTTTATTTCTACTAACTTCTATCCTTCATTGTAGAAAATTTTTGACGAAGAAAAAGAATGCAGAAGGAAATTGGATGAGAAAATTGAAGAAATTCAACCCTTGTTCGTCCAACAACACTAGGAGTTTTTTTAGGATATTCTGCATCGTTAGCGCCGTTATTTGTACAACAAGCGTTGGAAGATGCCGCAAATTGGAAAAAATGAGTACGTAGAACATTTGCATACATTATAGAGGATAACTTTTTACAAATTTTCATCTTTTAGCTCATTGTGTGCGGTATATTGAATAGCTTTTTACTAAAAACTCGAGTGAGTAACGCAATGTTTTGCCATGTGTTTTCTTTTGTTGTTTAAACAAACGAATTTTTTAATCCGTTTTAGCTCAACAATTTTGATCCGAAAATGCTGAATGCAACCCATTAAATCATTAAAAAGTGTGAGTGCATTTTGTACTTTATACGTTTTTTTTTAAACTTACTTACTGTTGGTTTCTCGACGTGTCAAGATTCGAAATCATCTAAACAAGAACCATTGATTTGTTCTATTTTAGACTCTCGAATGTCGCATTAAACATGCTAACGGTAAAAAGATGATAATAAAATGAAATCATGTATTTAATGAAGTACAGATTATATTGTTTAAAGTTGGAAGTGCTTTAAATGTAACGCAAGCATTTTTCAATGAAAGAAATAAACAACAAACACAGTCACAACAGGAAACAAAAAGTGCATTAAAACAATAACGCTTTGAGAGAATTCTCGAATTAGTTTGTTATTTATTATTTTTACTCTATTCATTTTGTCTTCTCTATCATCTCTGTCTAGCAGTAACGGGCGTATACACACATACCTGAGTTACTTCATTTTGGCTGTATCTTTTCATCATCCCAAATTTTACAAATAGTTCTTGCACAAAATATTGTCATTGTCACATTTATTGGCTGTATTATAATATGCCATTATACTTTACTTTTTTTGTTGTGTTGTTAATAAAATCGAAATAAAATATTTTCACATATAAACACATCCTGTAGTCCTATAATTTAATCAAACCATTGAGAGAGACAAACAATAGCCGATTATCGGTAATATGATGTTCAGCTGTCTATAGACGGAATTTTGCAATTGTTTTAAGACTACCTAGATGAGACTAGCTTAGTCAGTTCATTTTTCAGTGAAGAAAATTTAGTTCTGTAGCTTGGTGTTTTTAAAAACAGTGATTTTCTAGTTAGAAGTAGAAAATAGGAGATTGGTGCACTTCTATGCCTCCTCGTTCTGTTTTTAAGATTTTTTAAGATTTATTTTTACTAAAGAGCAGGATATCACAAAAAAAGAGAAACAAAATCTTGTGGCATCCGTGGATACCCTGTGATAACCCAAAACTAAAAATTTTAAATAAGTAAACAAAATAACATTATTAAAAGCCTGCGTAACCTCGCAGCATATTCTTGAATGTGGCTAAAGAAGTTTGAGAGGCTAAAATAGAAGGTAGTTCATTCCAATCTTTTGAGGTTCGCGGAAGAAAAGAGCCAGATGCAGATTTTCACATTAAACGAGGAACAAACACGCAACTATCATGACCTAATCGAGAACTTTGGCGCGTTGTTGACTGTGAAATCAGATCAAAAGAGGAGAGAGGACTTTTATGATAGAAAATTTTATAGAAATAGAGAAGGCGATAATATAGACGTCTGTTTGAAAGTGGTTGAATTTTAAATTGTTTGAGCAGAGAAGAAGAAGAACTACTAAAATCTTGTGAAATGACCCTACTAGCAAGACGCTGAAGAGTCGACTTCTTGTATTGGATGATAAACGACGCAAATCAGATGACGTTGTTGAAAGGGGAAAAAGTTGAAAGCAATGAAAGATGCCAATTTACAAAAATAACTTAAAAACGACACTTTAGCTCTCTCTTGCCATCTTAGAAACTAGCTCCCTGAGATGATGAACCTGATTGAACTTGGTAAATAGAGAATTCCTCTTTTACTTCATCTTTGTCACTAACCTTTTCTTCGACTGACTTTTTAGTTTTTGTATACTATGCAGTCAAGAAGTTAGCCAAAAATCGTACATGAGGCATATTGATAAATGTTTTATTAGAGTAAGACGTACGATGATATAGTTCTTATTTTAAATCTGCTTACATATTGATGTTTTGTCGTTTTTAGTATGAAAGTCAAGTGTCGTACGGTTCAAATCGAATATCGAAGGTTTATTTTGTGATCATTATGATACGTCAAATTCTTTATATTGTAAACGTTTAATAGTTATATGCCCAGAACATTCTCGCGAACGAAAAGTAAGTATACATCTCTCTGTGCTTCCTACTTTCTTTGTATTGTTTATTTGTTCTTTTTTTCAGCTCAGCCCGGAGGAAGCGTGTGGTTGTCCAATAGAGAAAAACTTATTTGTGTGTCTGGTGAACTGAGTTCACAAAGAAAAATCAAACTGTGCAAATAGATATTGATTTAAACTTAATTAAAACAACACTTAACAGAAATGAGAATGAACTAAGTTATTCTCGTAGTGTCCACATAAACTGGGTGAGATACGTCTGTAAGAGCGTTACGGACATATTCATCATATTCTTCTTTTTTCTTTTTGCAACCATCCACATATTTTCGATATTCTGGGTATGTACCGCAGTTTGTGGATCCACGAAATGTAACGAATGGTTCACCGTTTGATGTTCATAACCATTAACATTTGTTCTTAAGAAGACGTATGCTCTCCATTCGTCACTGTAAATCGTTGTGCCTGGAAATATATTAAGCGTTATTAAAGAGAAATGTAAATAGAAGGTGACGTACCTGGTCTGACATACTATTGTATAATTGGTAACAGTGTGGCAGCATTACGACGATTTACAGTGACAGCAAAACATCCTCTGGTGTCTCTGTCATTACCACCGAATACCCACTGGTTTGGTACCATTCGCCCACGATTGTATTTTCTTTTGGTCCATGAACTTTCGCCGATTTCCACCACATGTCCAACCCCACCAATCACTCCCGGATGCCTTAAAAAAAATTCAGCGCAGATATCACGAAGGAAATTTTTCCAATCAACGATGGTAGACCCACTTGCTAAATTACAATGACGTCGATGTTCATGGCTATCGAGGCCTTGTGACCAATAAAACATTAAATCGAGTAACTGCTGGATTGATAATCTCGACACGGAAAAGAAGATGCCATCACGAATAGATCGAGTTAACTTGCAACATTTGCACGACACCGCCATTGATATTTTAAAACATGACATAAAATGTAAACTGCTTTCTGAGGTTAAATTGTATTACTTACTGTCGTGGGCTCTTGACGATTTGCCCATATACCATTTATGATGACCGTTCGTACATGGCGCACTTGGACTGCACGGTATTAATCCAAGTGTTTGACAAAATGATATAAGGTGCAAATAATGCAAAAATCGAGCAAATTTTTTTTTAGGTTTTATTACATACCATTCGATAGAGCGTGTCGAGCTGATTAAGAATATGTGGCTTTTAATTTTTTCTAATCCCTTTTTTATATG